AACAACAACAACAACTATAAGTACTGTTGGGTTTAATATATTAAAAGTGCAAAACTAAACTAAAAATAAAAACCATGACCACTAACTTTGCATAGATCATAAGCTAGCAAGATTATAAAGTACAGTATCTCTTTTCCAATTCAGAATACCTTCTTAGCTTCCACATTTTTACTGTATATACATTGCTATTTTCCACCTGTTATGGAGTTTTTAATGCTCGTTTAAACTAGATATACTTTTTGCAATCCCAGAGGTACGCAGTTCAAATCCACCAGATGCTGCTCTGCTGGAGAAGGAGGGGCAATCTCCTCCTGTACCAGTCAGATTCTATTTGATGGCACACACATAAAAAAAAAATTTTAAAAACCCTAGATGTACTTTTAGTTTTTTTAAAATTTTTATTAAAATAACTTTTTCACACAGACACACACACACACACAGACCCCCAAACCTGGGTAACATTAAACACATAAAAATTTTAAGCTGCACCACAGAATGGAAGAAAATTGGAGTTTCTTTTATAAATGCCTTCACCATTTTACTCACCTGGGAGTCAACCACCCAGGTTTCCCAGTCCCCTTAGATTAACAACAAACACACCTGGTACATTGTAAAATCGGAAAATCCATACCCTTTCCTTTCTTCTCCTCTCCTCCATTCACATTAGGAGGGAGCTCTGGTAGCTTATTGGTAAGGATTTGTGCAGCCAATACAAAGGCACACAGTTCAAATCCACTCGCTGTCTGTGGGAGAAAAATGAGCAATCCTGTCCTGTGCAATTTACAGCCTCTGAAAATTTACTGGAAGGTCTGACTTAATGGTACACAACAAGATACTGTAGGCGTGTTGCTCTTCTGTTGGAGTGAAATATCTGGTCTCCTAGGCATTAAACAATAGTCACTGATCATAATAGAAGCAATGTTTTCTGTGTGTAATTTATCTGCTTCTATACCAGATAGATAAGGTGGTACATACCTACATATATTAAGAGAAAGCCTAGTAGCATAACTTGTTATGTTTTGGGCTGCTAATGGTATGGCTGGGAGTTCAAATCTTCCAGTTGATCAAAGGGAAAAAGATGGGAAATCTCTTTCTTTAAAGATTTATAGTCTTCAAAACCAGATAGAAGGGTCGCCATGCATTGGAATCAATTTGACAGCAGTGAGGTTTAATATATTGATTTTTCTGTATACTTACATATGTGTATACACACAAATATATGTCTGTGTATATGCATATATTGTTGTTAATGTGCCTTTGAGTTGGAACCAACTTGTAGCTGACCCTCCTGTGAGTTTTCAGAGGCTGTAAATCACACTGGTAGAGACTGTCCAGATTTCTCTTGTTGAGCAGCTGGTAGATTCAAACTGCATGCCTTTGGGTTGGCAGCACAAATATAAAACCAGCTTAAAAATAATTCTATAAATGCTGCAAATAACAAAATTCTACTCTATAGGAATGCACCATTGAATAAACCAAGTCACATACTTAACTAATTCAATAAAAACATACAGATTACAAAGTTATTTGATGATTAAGGAATTTTTTGTGACTTTGGGCAAGTATTCCTGTTTCTCCTATTCTGAAGAGAAAGCAATTGATTTTTATTTTGTCCTTACCTTATCCTTCTTATCTTGGCGGGCATAAGGGAAACATGGGATGACTGCAGTGACCCGGCTAGCTGAAGCAATCTTGCAGGCATTGATCATGATCAAAAGCTCCATTAGATTGTCGTTAATTTCTCCACAACCACTCTGTACAATGTAGACATCTTCTCCACGAACACTCTCACCAATTTCTACACTATATGGGGAAAGAATAATATAAATAGGTTTTTAACCATTAAGTAGCAGTGAGTTTGGCTCTGTGTGTGTGTTTATGTTGTGTGTGTACATATGCCATAACAGGCATATAACACACACACACACACACACACACACACACACACACACACCTTTCTCTTGCTGCTGAGTTGGAAACAATTAATACATAGCTGACCCTCCTGTTGGCTTTCAGAGGCTATAAACTGCACAAGAGAAAATTGC